AGGTTTGTTTGGTTTTTTTGTTTGTTTTTGTTTTTGTTTTTCTGAGCCTTTTAGTGTTTATATGGTCATCCTGGACATAAGAAGATATGACCAAATTCTCATAGTATTCCTACAAATCCAGTTCCCTGAAGGCAGAGGTGGAAACAGAACAAACCTGGAGCCTCACTCTTCTCTCCTTCTATCTACCAGGCTGTGCTGTATGTCAGGCCCCTGGCCTGGAAGCTCTAACCCCTGAAAGGCTCACTACTGCTGAGCTCCACAAAGTCTTATCTGCTAAGAGACATGGAGGCTCTGATGCCATCGTACCGAAACTGAGTTGGTTCCCTTTTTAAATTAGAGTTATAAACTCGGGTACAAAGACACTGGCAAAGAGTTCACTGTGGTGCCCAGAGTGTTTTGTGAGTTTCTACCAACTTGATCTTATGTTCAGAACACTTAAGTTCATCTGACAATGCTGCTTCGTATTGGAGCACTGCTTCTGAAGAGCCACCTTCGCCTCCGAGCTTTGGCCTAAGCACAGAGGAAGAAAAACGGCGTTTGCTCTTCACCTGAAATGTCAGCTCGATTTCTTTGCCCTTCTTCCCTCTGTCCTCTTGCTAACCTTCTGCAATAGCATCAGATAACACAGCTACTTCCCTCAAGTGCCAGAGTGTTTAGGGTCTGTCCGTAAAACTGGGGGCAATGTTCAGTTTGGACCATTCTGTTCTCTAGAGTCCTGCCGAGCTGTAACTTGCCTGAAATGGACAGAGAACTATTCATAAAAGCTATCCCTGTGCAGACACATCAAGAGGGGCATCAAGTAAAGATGTAGGTTTTTTTTGTTTGTTTGGTTTTGAGTAGGCAGCTCAAAGGTATATATTGTCTTATATTAATTTCTCCCTTTCTAGGTTGTGTGTGTGTGTGTTGTTTTGGTGCCAGGGCCTTACATATGCTAAACAGGTACACTACCACTGAGCTATAGCCTTAGCTCTCTCTAGGGACTTTCTTCTGTTATATCCCCTGCTTTATTTATTTGTGGCGAGGCAGTAACAAGAAAGACATTTATAATAATAAAATTTAGCACCGCAACTGAGCTGGTTTTAGATAGACCTGAGTTACCTAAGTCTGTCCAGGCCAAGCTTTATGTTCCTTCCCCTAAAATGCCAATCAGACAGAAATTTGTATTCAGTAAAGTAAAAGAAAAGCCAAAGGCCACAAAACAAACAAAAACGAGGAACCTAAATGAATTCTCAGAAGTCCACAAGGAACATATAATTTTTCCCAGGCTTGATGTTCTTTGCCTGAACCTTGAGGGTCACATGACATTTTTCTTTTGCTCCAGCAGCAAAGGGATGGAGGAAAAGAGAATATGAAAACAAAAACAAAAACACTAAGACTTGGCTCTCTGTGATATCATGTGCCCGTGGCTAGACCCAGAGATAATTCACGATATATATTTTCCTCTCCTGGGTACCTAGATTAAGTGTCTTTTTCCACTTGCAAAATGAGAAATCAAATGTTTCTGAGAAGGCATTATTTGGTAAGTTAACAAAGATGTCCAAGAGCAGTATAAGGGAATCTGAAATCTGGCACTTTCAGTAAACTTGCCTGAACTTTGAAGGAAGATGCGGGTTGAATTATGTCCCTAGTGGATGACAAATATTGTTATCTGTGCTCCCCTTTATACACAGGAGTCCTGTTTAAGGGCATGGTGCATTAGGTATGCTCTCCAGAGGGCAGCCAGCAACTTCTCCTCCCAGGAACACAGTATTGCTTTGGGTTTTGGGGAGAAGGTTGGCTGTTTTCACCTTGCACATGCTCCAGACTAAGATCAAGCTTTAGGTGATGCTCGTAGAGGAGAACTGAGCCTTGCTTCAGTTTCCTTATCTAAGAGCACGGAAGCTGTGCTCTGTGGCAAAGACATGAGGTCTGTCCAGTGCTTAGCAAGTACCTAGCACTAAGTGCTTTAAGTGTCCTCATATCAATAACATCTAGGGCCAAGTTTCTTCTGTGAGTTCTTACTTGGAGAAGTCGATAACAACCTGCAGCCAACAGTCAGCCTGGCCTGTTGTTAGAGCAGTCATCATAGCCATTGCCTTTCAAGGACCTGAACTCCTCAGACCTCACACTCTGTTCTCTCCTAGGGAGTGGCTTCGGGCTGGGAAATCTTAATCTTAAATTCTTATCTTTTTGTCACCCGCCCAACCCCCAAGTTCTCCGGCTGGATATTTAGAACTTGTTGTAAACTTCACAGGATCGAGATGCATTGAGACCTGTAGGAGGTGTTGGAAGAAAAGGGGGGACTGAGATGTTGAAATTCAGGGCAACAAAAATACCTATGATGTCATTTAGCCCGACTTGTGGACTAGCTGCAGCCTTTGCACTCGCCTGGTGTGAAGCCTCACTCCTGCTGACCCTGTGCTCTGACTGAACCCCAAATCAGGCCTCTGAGGGTCTTCTGCTCAGGGGGTTTCTCACCCTTCCCCATCTCCCCACAGCCACATCTTTCCCTCCTTCTCTGACTTTTAGCGTAGCCAATTAAACCTGAACAGCGGGCGGATGGAGGAAATATGCTGTGTCTATGGAATGGTACAGCAGGGACCAGTTTCACTGTTAATTTAAAATGCTAGAATTAATTAGGTGGTGTAAATGAAGAATTTAATAAGCACTCTTTACAGCCATAAGTTCTACTTTTATTAAACACTGCTACCAAATGAGGGCAAATATCTCTGCTCTCTATTTCCCTGCCTCGTTCCCATAAGTTCTCTACAAATAAGTTTTTTTTTTTTTGCCTGAAATAAAAAAATTACATAATTATAAATTTATGCCCAAATTGCATTTCTGCGTTCAACCCATAAGCTTCATCTTTAAGGCCAGATGCTGCTGTATGTCTCTGCTTGTGTTCAATAGGGTGCTAAACAAACCAGAGTTGACAATTTTGGTTTTGTATACCAAATTAAAGGCTGTCTTCGAAGCTGTCACTCCTATTCAAATCCACTCGGTGAACTACCAAATTAGCATTCCTTCAGTAAAGGAATCTGCTTGTTTAAACATGTGTCTTCAGAAAACAAGGAACAACACCATGAATCAGTACTTAAAAAAAAAAATCTCACTACCATGCTGAGGGTAATCCTGAAAGGTGATTAGTAATAGCACTCACTAATATAGCCGGCAGAAGCCCTATTTAGAATGTAAGGCAGAACTCAAAATACATTTTCTATATAGGAGTGGGAGGAAGAATCATATGGTTAACTGGTTTTAATTTGGTTTGAATTATCATCCCATTATGTAAAGATTATTCAAGGAATCTAAACATCGGCTTTATGAAAATACAGGCACTTTTGTTAAAGACTAGAAGATGCAGCACACATGGGTAGGTGCTGGAAACCCTGGTCCCGCTACGGAGTTTAGGTGTAAGCTTTTTATCTTGACCGCAGTCCTTTATAAAGTCCTCTGTCTTTATAAATAGCGCCCTCCGCCAACTAAAGACTCCCGCCGTCACCCTGCTAGGTGTCATCCTTAGAACACACTCTTAAGCTAAGTATCATCTTCTAGTTTTACAGCTACAAAAACTGTGTTGGGGACTGTGTGACTTACACTGTAGCAAACAGTGCTAATTTTTAGCTTTGTACTTCATTTATAAAGGGGTACATTTAAGTGTGAATTAGAAGATTAAAATAACGTATTTATGTGTCTGTACATGTATACATTGTAGCACCCGATTTAAAACGGGGATGGTGTCTTATCCTAGTTAGGTCACAGATCTTCATTTTTACTTTTGCGAGCTAGTTGCTTGCCAGTGAAACTGAAACAGCAGTCAACATTTACGGCTGACAAGTAGTCAGGGTTGATGGCTTCAGGAGTGGAGCCATCCACTCCTGCTTTGGTAGCAGCTTCATTGCCCTCATTATGCAGCTCATTAATGTTTTAAGGGAAAATATTCTCACTTCCAATAAGATTATAGGAAAAGTTCCCCCCAAACAGGGATAGTATAATTTTCTGACAAACATCAAAATCCTGTTATTGAGGTCATATGGGGGTAAGGGTATTGCTTTGTTTTTAAGTACAAGGTCAAGAAGAATCTGATTAATTAAAGGTCATCTTCAAACTGAACAAATATGAGAAAAGTATCTCCCATATATATCTTCATTAAGCATCTCCCTTCTTCTGCATTTACATTCTAGGATTGTCTGCTATCTTTGGCACTTGTTCTTCTCAGAGACAAAGAGCAATTATGTCATCCTTCTACTTGGCCCCCTTTAAAACACTTGTCATGACATATGGAAGAAAACTGGGCACATACAAAACCAAATGTCTGAGAACAGAATAAAAGAGCATGATGTGCAAGGGAGGAAAGACAGAAGGCAGAACTCAGGGCCATAGTGCAAAGGAGGAGGTAGGGACAGCTCAGTTGGTGGAACTGGCCCAGCATGCATGAAGCCCTTGTCCCCAGCATCCATAAAACCAGACATGCCTGTAATCCCTGCAGTCAGAATGTAAAGGCATACTCAGCTTTCCAGCCAGTTCCAGGCCAGCCTGGGAATACATGAGTCTCTGTCTTAGAAAATAAAAAGAGCAGGGTGTAGTGGTACATGCCTTTAATCTCAGCTCTCTGGAGGCAGAGGCAGTCAGATCTCTGTGAGTTCAAGGCCAGCCTAGTCTACACAGAGAAATCCTGTCTTGAAAAACTAAAACCAAGCCAACCAACCAACCAACCAACCAAACAAACAAACAAAAAGTAGTGGCATCTGACCAAGAATAAATGAGTATAAAACCGAAGGAACATTTCACATAAAGGTAAAAAAGCTTCAAAATCTTCACCTATTTCTTAGTCCTATTAGTGTGCTTGGAGGAGTTCCATGGTGTACATGTATGTACATGATGTGAGCTTATGGTTTGTATACATGTAATCCTTATTTATGTGCAGGATAACTGGTGTAGACCTTCAGATGTATTGCCACACATACGCATTATGTCTGAGATCTGCTGTGAATCCCTAGCCTGAATTTTGAAGAGCGTACCTGTAATTTTGTCTCTCACAAGTTTGCAGGATTCTATTTCACCAATGCTCCCAAAGAGACTCCTGAATTCCTCTTGGGTCATATTCTGGGGTAAATAGTTGACGATGAGGTTGGTTTTGCTGTCGTCAGTGGCCGCGCCCGTCTGCATGGGGGAAGGACAGTTTCTGCTGTTGCTGGAGGGTCCGTTGCTTGTATTGGCTGTCGGTCCATTTGACACCTGAGGCTCCATGGTGCTAATTATCTAAATAAAAAAATAAATAAATATTCTGAAATCTCAGAAGACACAAAGTCTCTTTCTAGATTTTACTTTTATTTGCTGGAAAGAAAGAGAATAAGATGAGGCAAGAAGGAGCAAAGAGACTGAGTTGTGAACACAGCCAATTTAGAAGCATGTTTTTAACCAGGATGTTAAGTTCCCTTTGCTATTTTTAGGCCAGCCCCTAGATTTTGAACACAGACTAGAATGCAGTGGAAACTCTCCCATTATTTTGTTAATGAAAAGCTAATTCCTGTTTTCATTACACAATCACTCTCAGAAATGTATACTTAAGCCACACCAAATTATAATTAAAATGTAAAGTAATAATCATGATTAAAATTATAGTTCTATTAAAGCTGAAAAAGCTAAATATAGAGGATTAAATTCACAAGATCAAATACAGTACCTGTTTATTAACTATCTCATAAAATAAAATGACATTAAATTAAGTGGAGCTGTTACATATGAGAAGGTCTTAGATTTCCACTGATGCTTAAACACTGATCAGACTTCTGTTTTCATGAGTGTATTCTGGGGATATATAAAGTCATCTAATTAAAAAAAAATCCAGCCATTCTGTTACTATTTTTTCTGGGGTCTCTAATAAAACAGACAAAAACACAAGAAGACATTCCCCCCACCCCAAGTTTCATTTTTGGTATAGCATAGCCTAAAGCTCTTATTACTCAAAGAAGTCTTTCTCTTGATATAAATATTTGTTTAAATATTTAATTAAAGATATGTGAATGGTCCCAGGAAGCATGCAAAAAAAAAAAAAAAAAAAAAGTTCCTATCCTTAGGAGCGCATAGTCTTAAAAGGTCACAGAAAACTGAAGGCTGGTATTTATTTATTCCTGCTTACTGGAATTCAGGGAATTCAGGGAAAATATGAAGGAGATGATGCCATAGTGAGGTCAAGCTCATAAAGGCAGGACTTGAAGATGCTCCGCATGGGATAATAAAAATAGAGAAATCACCAAGTCACAGAACCAGAAGGTAACTAACACTTCAGGGAGTAAACACACCCTGTGTTGGAGATGATATCCAGACATCAGTGGCCGTCAGTAGTAAAGCCGGGCAGTGTCTGAGTCTGCACCCAGGTTTTCTGGTTCCAAATAAAGACTGCAGCCATCTCCCCTAAAGTTGACCACAGTATTGTTCCCTGTCTGACTGCGTGGGTTGTGATTTTTGTCAACTTGACACAAACCAGGATCACCCGGGAAGAGGGAATATCAATTGAGTAAATGACTCCATCCTGTTGCTTGTAGGCGGATCTGTGGGCCATTTCCTTGATTAATGACTGATGTGGGAGCCTGTTGTAAGTAGTGCCACCCCTGAGAAGATGGTCCTGGTGTGTATAAGAAAGCAAACTTAGCAAGCTGGGGTGAGCAAATCAGTAAGCTGTGTCTTGCTATGGCTTTTGCTTCAGTTCCTGCTCCAGGTTCCTGTTTTGGATTCTCTCTCTGGACTGTGATCCAGGATATGTAAACCAAATAAACCCTTTCCTCCCCAAGCTGTCTTTGAACATGTTCTTATCACAGCAATAGAAACCCAACTATAAAATATTGTTTATCATGACATGGCTTGTTATCACCTTTAAAATTGCCATCAACGATTATGACCATGCTCTGCCACTCACCAGGTCTATGATTTCTGGCAAAAGGGGCACAATGACACCTTCCTTGCAAAATGATGGGAAGGGAGATGACATTTAGACAGCTGCTGAACAGTGATGAAAACAACCGCAGGCCCTGATATTACTAATGTCATTATGCCTGTCACCTGATGGGACTTCTCTTACTGATGTCCTACAAGAAGGCAAGGGTATGGATCCTAGTATGTTCTATACCGCAGCACTTAGGAAAACCAGGGATAGAGGACATCTGATAACTAGTCCCTTCGGTGATTACTGTTCGAGTGCAAATATTTTTACTGAATATAAAATATTTTTACTGAATATAATGTACCACAAAATAGGTAACTCTTAAGGCTACAACTCAAGAGTGTTTACTAACAGTCCCAGAAAACTTCTTCTGGGTCATAACATGGACCATGACCAGATGACAGAAATCCCCCTGTCCTGCCCCTTATTTAACTCAGTCACACCGAAATGACCACTGCTCTAACTTCCAGTCCATAGAGTGCACATATCTCTTTTCAAACTTCACATACATAATGGTACCGTATGTACCCCTTTGTGGCGTGTCATATATCTGACGCCATCTGGGTTCTGCACGACCATAGGCTGCTCTTCCTCATTGTTGCAGAGAACTCCACTGTGTGAAATGAACACCTTTATGTATCTGTGGATGGACATCTAGGCTGCTTCTACTTTTGATCTGGCACAACTAATGACAACGAGCATTAGGCACGTGCCTTTTGGCATATCTACACACATTTCTAGGATTCCAGTTTTGGGGTCATGAGGGATATGCATGATAGTTACTAATGAATACTGTCATTGGGTTTTCAAAGTGCTTACACCAACTTAGCACCCTTGCCAGCAGAGAATGGATATTTTGTTTGCTCTCTGTGTAGCCCAGGCTGACTTTCAATTCAGGATCTTTTGGCATTAGCCTCCCAAATTCAGAGATTAAAGGCACGAGTCGTGAAATGCCTGGCTAGGAAACTTTCTAAATTGTATTTTAGTGTCTGTGTGTGTGTGTTCATGTATACCATGACATAAATGTAGAGAGGTCAGAGGGTAACTTACAGAAGTTGGTTCTCTCCTTCCTTATGTAGGTTCTGGGATTAATTTAGGTTTTCGATCTTGGTGCAAGTGCCTTTACCTGGTGTATGTAGCATCTTGCCTACCCAGGAATATATTTTTGAGTCAAGCTGCCTTAAAATTCTTGTCCTACTGTTTATTAGCCAAGAACTCTCAGGCAGGTCATTTCAGTGCTTTGAGCCTCATATCCTCTTTTGCCAAGCTAAAGCAAAGGGCAGCATGCGCTGCTGCCTGGAGAAGGGTTCCCATCAGTGCGGTGTCTGGAAGATAAAGTGCCTAGAGGCAAGGTAACTATTATTCCTTCCCATGTCCAACGCAGGTGAGTGTTACTTCAGTTTCCTCTTTTGACTGTTATATATGGGAAATGAATCCAAAAGAAAAACATGGAGTCTTGAGACTAGCCTGAGGAAGATGGAGAGTGTCTAAGTTTCTTTACCATCATGTAAATAACTTATGTGGCTCCACTTCTCACATCATCAGAACTTTCTTCTTGGCCTCAGGTCAACTGGTGGATCCCAGAAAGCTGGTCCAGACCACAAAGAGAAAGCAAAAGGCTTCTGAGAAGAATTTTAGCTGAAGCTGTCCTCAGGACTGATAAAAACTATACTTAGAAAGACCATGCAGCTACTTTGCCCTTGAGGTTAGGGTCCAGGAGAAGAATCAGGGCCGCAGGGAGCATGCTAATGGAGGTAAAGTTACAGCGCATCAGCAGAACTCCTGGCTAGGAGGCAGGCTTCTCCTGAGCCCAGCCCTTGGACTGTGGGCCTGCACAGTCACGACATTTGCTGTATTGTCCCACTCCTCTGTGTCAGGTGTCCCAGAAAATGAACACAGTAACGAACCCCAGAATCAGGACTTACCATTTATGGGGCCTTTCTGAGAGAACCACAAGCTAACAGGCCTTTAAATGTTGTTTTAATAATATCCCATATTTCAGATGCACTCCCCAAATCTGTCACACAATCTGTAGTCCCCCTTCTTGGTTATTACCTTTCTCAATTTACCCTTCTTACAGCTCCACCAAAGATACCAAGGAGACAGCCTGGACCATAACAGCTCCTCTCCTGCTAATGATGAAACCTATGAAATGCATGCTAAGAGACGTCTAGCAGGCCCATCTTTCATTTGCCAAATGTTCATCTCACAGACAGACCTGTGTCCTTGTGACCCTCTTACAGGCAAACCTGTTCCAGGGAGGCCCAGGAGGTGTCAAGTCTACACAGAGTAATTCAGTTCCTCCTTCAGTTTCTACAGCTCTTCACATCCTATGTGGGCTTCCTAATTTATGTCAGTTCCCAGAATTGAGCCCTATCTCTATATTAGATGACCCAAATTGAACCCTAACTTTTGAAAAAGTGCCATGAGATGCAGTGTTCACCACTGAACTACTTCCACAGACTGTAGCTGTAAATTAGGTCATGTCATTCTTATGTGGTAGAAACAGAATGCAGTGTCTTTTTTTCTCTGCACACACACTAAACAGTTATATTTTTGTGTATACAGAAGAACTGATGAAAATCAGTACACACATACATACACACAGGTTTTTTTTTTTTTCAGTAAAAATATAGTTTGAAAGCTGAGAAACCTTTGGAGGTGTGTTGAATAGATCCTGTCATTTCAGGAGCATCACAGGATAAAGAAAGAAAGAAAGAAAGAAAGAAAGAAAGAAAGAAAGAAAGAAAGAAAGAAAGAAAGAAAGAAAGAAAGAGAGAGAAAAAAAGAAAGGTGGAAAAAACAATCAGGAATTGAAAATGTCAGCATTAAATCTGGCATCTGAATGAACGGAAAATTTTAAAACATTACCTGGGAATAAGAGAAGTTGTTAAGAGAGAAAGATGTTGAAAGAACGAATATGAAGCTGTGGCATTTTAAGGCTACTAAAGAGAGGACACCTGTGTTCTCTACTTTGGGAAATAAACCAGAGGTAAAGAAAACACATTTGGTGGGAAGCCTATTCTCAAATAAGCACAGAAGCTGGCTAGGCAAAATCAAAACACCTGCTTCCTCAGGCAAACATCTCTGACATTCTAACAGTACTCTTTTTTTTTTTTTTTTCATTGCAAATAAATATATCATTTTACTCAATAAGCACACATACTCTAACGAAACATTCTGTGTGGGTCTCATGGCCAACTTTGCAGCTGACCAGGCTCCAGACCCCTGCCTTGCCCTCCTTCCCTCCTCTGGATGGCAATTAAGAACAGAATTACTGTCAGCACCCAGGATAGAGCTTTGAGGAGGTTCAGTTGAC